ATCACTTTTCAACAGCACAATAACTTTAAACTGTCATTAAATGAACGGTTGCAAATTGAGAATTACCTATGCTAAATTTACTACTATTCTATGACTATTCTTATTTAGTCTGTACATTTTTATCTCTGTATTCTACTTCTATGTTCCTCTGCCTAAGTTACCAGTGTGTTTTCTTATCTTAATTATTTCTTCTTTTACTCTTTCCTTCTCCCCCGGATCTTCTTCCGCTCTGGTAACAAGTCGGTTTGCATGTGAAAATTCTTTTATAGGGCTTGGAAATGGGCTGTCAGTCGTTCTAAATGGGGACACAGTAGTACAAGTAGGCTCAAGATTAGGGCTGAAGTCCAGGGCTCTATGGTCATATACAGTGGTGGGATTCAAATAATTTAACAACCAGTTCTCTGCCCTAATGATTTCTTCCAACAAACAGTTCACCAAATTGCTGAGATAGTTAATAACTAGTTCTCGTGATGTGGTGTGAACTGGCTGAATCCCACCACTGGTCATATGCAGAGGTGGTATTCAGCAGGTTCTGGAGAACTGGTAGCGGAAATTTTGAGTAGTTTGGAGAACTAGCAAATACCACCTCTGACCGGCCCCGCCAACCTCATCTATTCTCTGCCTCCCGAGTCCCAGTGGATTAACTGGGTCTTCTTTTGTTGCCCTGCACAGGAGAATGGAGATGGAAAGCAGGTTAGTGGGGTGGGGATGGAATGGGGATTTTGCAGTATCTTTTCCCTGCCACGCCCACCAAGCCACCCCCACAGAAATGGTAGTAAAAAAAAAAGAATCCCACCACTGGTAATATGGCTACTTAAACTATCTTGAAGCAAGTAGCAGGTAATGCCATAGGAAACTCATGATTCCCTTCTTGATCTTAACTACACTTTTAAAATGAACTAGCAGCAAACCTACACAGAATCATGTCCTTAAACCTTCATTGATTTGGGGAACCAAAGAACGCCAAACAGTCAGTTTAGCTGACTTCTTAGAATACAGTAATGTGATTTCTCCCCCTCCAGCACAGAGAGAGATTCTCCAAGCCAGAGGGCAATTTCTTTTCCACTGCTCTGCCTGCAACTATTTCCAATCATCCTGATTCAGTACCACCCATCTCCTCACACATTCAATTTGGTAGTTCTTGACCTCAGCCTCTTCCAAGACAGTTGAAAAAGGACCCAGGGCATTTCAAGAATAACATTTGTGGAGTCTCCTGCAGACTTCTGGGAAAGTTAGTCCCTCTAACAACAAGCAGCTGGAGAATGCGCTACACCGAGATTTCCATTTTTGGAGCAGCCACAACATCACAGGTTTAAACTGCATCCTTACTAATATGTCTCCCCAATAAGTCCTGACCTTTGGAGCTAATGCTCTGACGCACTTGAATAAGCACCAATTAAGCCCTTCAACCTTATTGCAAACACAGACTCTGCATGAAACCTTCTACACAGCACAAGGCAAAAGAAGACACAAGGATGTGTAACTATGCTGAAGGAAAGGATGGGGAAAGCTTAATGAGAATGAGTCATCAGCTGATGTGACCAAGATCAGAGGAGGCTTTGCTTGCTCTCTATATCATCCTGATATAGGATGAAACCAGTTTCCATGGATTAAAACCTGATCCTGAATATGGACAACAAAGCATAATGATTAATAACTCAATGTAAATCCAGTCTATTTATTGTCCACATTAGCAGAGAAATATTCCAATCCATAATTATTTAAACATTTTTATCTACTTAATACTGGATCTCACAAACACATCTTTTATTTCCAATTATTTTACCTACAGGATGGAGGTTTGATGCTATTTTGTTTAGATGCTTGTTTTGTTTGTTTTGATGCTATTTTGTTTAGAAATCTTGACTCTTGGTAAGAGTCTTGCCTGGGAAATCTTCGAATTATTACATACCAAAACAGTGTTAAAGGAATAGTTTCTGTTGGTACTCTGTCATTTTCATACATTCAGGAGCTGTCCTATTTAAATTAATTGAAACAGTTGGCAGATTCCGTTGGCTTAGTTTATCTATCATATCCATATGCCCACAAAATTTAATGAACTTGTTATGCTACAGAAGAAATCCATTCAGCATTGTTCAATCCCTTCTCTCTCCACAACTTATAGCATTCGTCTAGTTTATGTCGGAAGATTCCCCTCCCTTCTAGGAAAACAGCCCCCACCCTTTGTCAAGTAGGGCTATTAAAATAGCTGGAGCCAGCTTACTTTTCACAACAAAGGAAGGAGAAAATTACAGGCATGAGATACAAAGAAAAAACCCTACGAATTTCCTCTATCTTATTTTTCCAATTTTCTTTGACACTGCTAGCCAGTTTCAACAATATTGCTAAGGCAATTGATAACGAAGAACAGAAACTGGATCAAATGCTCCACAATTTTAAAGGGTCCAAGATCGTACATATTTCCTTGTTTCTTTTTTAAGTATAAAATAAAATTGATCCTAAAAAGACATTGGCAGGAATATTTAAAGTTACCAAATACTTTACACAGCATTTAGGTGAGTAAGAGAATATAATGTGCTCTCCTCAGAGACTGACTGATTCCCAGTTTGAAAAATACAGATTCATGGAATTGAAGCTCAGGAATATGAGAGCCATTGTTGTCACCTCTCTAGAAGCCTTCTCAGAAGAGAGAAAGCTAACAAATGCAATTTAGTATTTAGTATTTATTTGATTTGTAAATCGTTTACAAGATACAGGTATAAGAATAAATATAGCTTTGAATACATGAGATAAATACTTATAAGAAAAAAAAACCAATAGGACAGGGATGGTAGGCATGATTGGTACACTTATGCACGCTCCCTACAATTGCTGGTGGCCAGGATGAGGCATATATAAGCTACTGCTACATTTATTCTTTGTTTCATGATCAAGGAGTTAGGCAAGCAATGAGTAAACCGAACTTAGCAAGTTATTTCTTCTCTTAAAGTATGTACCATCCTAAGTGATACTTGAAACTTTTATGTGAATGGGGTTGGAGATCCAGACAGCAAGAAGATATTGTATGTGGTTGCTGTCCTTCAAAATCAGCCAGATTCATACCCTTGTTTGACCACAGGAAGGAGCTCCAAGTATTAAGCTTCTGAAGAGTCATAGATCTGGATCTCCCAGAGGTAATGACAGCAGCTAACAGTCTGGGAGAAAAGTTTAAAAGCCACCATGTAGGTATAAGAGACAACAATGAAAGCTGCAATCAAATGAAATTAACAAAGTTGAAGGCATGAAGTCAAACGCTATGCAGGAAACATATACTAAAGCAATCATCTCCAAAACAGAATCCATGTTCAGCATGTGAGCTCTGTAAGTTACATCCTTGAGCAGATGGTTTCCTTGTCCACTGTCAATGCTTTCTAAGCAGCCTCAGTATGTTAGATCAGGAAGAAGCTGCCACGTGTGTTACGGTAGCAGTTCCAACAAAATGCACAGACTGTTACCAAGCTGAGACAACTGGAGTTCATTACTGAATAACAACATCATCAACGCAAATAATTCCCAGTGCAACATTTGGTAGGCCTGTCACCAGCTTTATCTGCTCAGCCTAGGGACAGAAGTGAGAAATCAGCAGAAGTGTGCTGTGTTCTGCTAGAGAAGAGCATGTCTTCCATACTCCAAGCAGTTAATTGGACTAAAACAACAAATATGCCCACATCTGCTCTTTTTGCAGTCTATACTTATAAATGGTTTAATAAAGCAGTACTCAAAGAATGTCTGAATGAAAACAGAGACATTCCCAGTCAGTTACAGACTCCAACTTTCAATGGATGATTCACAGAAATGGTACCAGGGGCTTTAGACCTGGTGGTGGATGTAGTGAATGGGGCAATGGGGTTTACAAGTGAAAGCTTATCTTGATAGTGAAGTGTCAGGTGCCAGAGAAATCTGGAGGTCCAGACAGCTCAAATGGACATAAAGGTTTACTGTAACTTAAACTCTCTACAAGAATCTGAACTACTAGAGTGCCCAAGCAAATTGGTGGTAGATAAGGGTCACAGGAATTCAAGGTGGGCTGGACTAAGATCTCTTGTGGGCACAAAAGGACTCATGACTGATGATATATATTTGATCCCCACCACTTTGGGCTCAGCCTGGTCAACTCCTACACTCAGCTTGAAAAAAAAACATTTCCTATCTTGAAGCAGCCTCTAGCTGGCCTTGGCTAAACTCAACAAAAGCAAATGTAGTTAACGCTCGAAAGAGAGACCACCAGGAAGTACCAAAGCTGCAAGAAATTCAACTGAAGAATTGTTGACAGGTATGTTGGATTCAAAGATGATAATATCTGCTAAAGATTTGTTGTCCCATGAATCTGTGCCCTCCAGTTGTGTAACCTTCAAAAAGAATCCCGGTTAGCATGAACAATCCCAAGAAACTGGGAACTGAAATCCAGCTATTTATTGTACCCAAGGTCTGAGTTTATGCATAGAATCAACATTTCATTTTTCCAATTACATAATCAATTCTCATTATGTAAGCTTTTTGGTCATATGGACTGAACTGAGTAGAATGTATAATTCTATTCCATATAGTGTTGACCATGACTCTTGATACACGTTGTTAGCTTAAGTTTAATAGTGAATCTCAATCCCTAGAATATATGCTTGTGGATCATTTTTCTCTAAAATGTCTACTAACAAGCAGATATAGAAAAAAAAAAAGTACTGTTAATTTTTTGGGAAATACTATCTATCCAGCAACTCACCTACTCCTTATTTGAGGATCTGGCCTTCTAAAGAGCATATTGTAGCCTGCAAATACTGTAGAATAACATCGAATGAAAACTATAACTTCTTAGCCCAGCTAATGTTTACATCAGATGCAGTGATTGAGTTGACTTTAATTATTAATTGGTTTTGTTTTACACATTCAAAGGAACAGAACAGTAACAAACATTTCTATGGTTGTAAGCAGTCTAAAACATTCTGGCAAGCAAGGATAAATGATGGTTATTTCCAGACAAATTTACAAACTTATAAACTTACCTGTATTGGGTAACTGCTGGATTAGCTTTGGCAGAGCAGTGAAACTTTACTGTATTGTCTTCAAGGACAGGCTGAGGTTCTACTGACAGATTGACGAGAGGCGGATCTGTAAAAAAAAACAATGGGCAATTTATTAGCTTTCATGCCTTTGTGTACAGAAATGTGTCTTTCTGAAGAAAAGCTCCCATTTGCTCTACTGTTGTGATGTATGGATATGCAGTAACTAGCCAAGATACCTATTTGACCTTTCAGTGTCTAAAATCTAATGGCCGAACAATGAAATTCCTTTTTTGAAGGAATAATAGCTTTACAGGGAAGGTAAATCTGGGAGCAATTACTACTTGTTTGGCAGTTTCTTCCCCAAGTGACTATGGGAAGGTCATTCATTTGCTATGTATCTTCAATTCCATATCTGGATAGATCCAGAGGATTTGTTGGACAAAATAGATAAGTAAGGGAGCCAAAGGCATCCTTACTTATCTTCCTTACAGCAGAAAAGCAGATCTGCATAGATCAGGGACATCTGAGGCCATTTCCTTTCTGAGGGAGATGACTCTTGTGTCAATTCATAAAATATTTCTATGGTCTTTTTGGAGGGGGGAGCAGTGCGGCAACTTAGAAACCGAAAGTGCATTCCATAAATAGTTTTCAAAGATAGTAACTAGGTGACTGAAGTTTCTGCCATGTAAAATTCTAACTGGACAGCATGATTGATGATTCTTGACTATGGATGTGTCCCATTGGAGAATATGAATTAAGATACACCCGGGGGTGGGAGAAAACCAGGGTCAAGGGTGACAATGAATTATGTGTCTCAGAGTTGGCTACACCCACGCAGTGTTGGACATTTTAACTCCCAATAAATCCTTTTGATGTTTTGGAAGTTTGGCTCGAGACTTATGTTTTAACTGGGGGTAACTGCTGTAATCCAGACAGCTTGCAAGCTTTTTAATTTTTTATTAAAGCATTTGAACTGACAAATTTCAGGGACTCCATTATTACAGTGCTTAACAAGAAGCAACCATCTATATTCCTCTTGATACTTTCAGTGAAGAATTCTTTTGCATTCTTGATCTTCCAACCAGGCTTCTTTAACTGTATTACTTTTTTCTAGTAAAACAAAAAACAAAACAAAACTATTTGCCCATGCATTTTAGATATGGATCAAATTAAGCATCTCAAGGCATAGGACACAACTGGCTTTTATCAAAGCCCAAGAAGGCTCTTAATAAAAGTAAATCTGTGATTAGATAGTGGACCTGTCATCCTCACAGCTCCAATGTTTTCTTCCTCCTTTTTCTCAGAAGAGAAGCAAAATACAAAAGTAATTGGTGGTTTGCAGACATGGTCTATTTTCTTATATCATGCATCATCAAATTCCTTAATTTGATTCCTATAACTTGAGTTCATTTGAATTTTGGGTATGGTCCTGATATAGGAACCCAAGAACTGGCAATTTTTGGAGACACAGAGTATGTCTGCAGATCTATGACAAAATTCCATCAAAATCATGGATGTGCTGTTCAAAGAGATTTTTCTGTTCCAATGGGATCCAGAACTAATTGAAGACCCATATAACAGTAAGATGAAACTCAAGAAAACTAAGATCATGGCATCTGGCCCTCTCAATTTCTGGCAAATAGATGGGGAAGAAATGGAGGTGGTGACAGATTTTATTTTCCTGGGCTCCAAGATCACCGCAGATGGGGACTACAGCCAAGAAATTAAAAGTCACTTGCTCCTGGTGAGGAAAGCTATGGCAAATCTAGACAGCATATTAAAAAACAGAGATATCACCCTGCCAACAAAAGTACATATAGTCAAGGTTATGGTTTTTCCAGTTGCAATCAATGGCTATGAAAGTTGGACCATAAGAAAGGCTGAGTGCCGAAGAATTGAGGCCTTTGAACTCTGGTGCTGGAAAAGACACCTACAAGTCCCTTGGACTGCAAGGTGATCAAAATGATCAGTCTTCGAGGAGATCAACCCTGACTGCTCTTTAGAAGGCCAGATCCTGAAGATGAAACTCAAATACTTTGGCCACATAATGAGAAGGAAGGACTCTCTGGAGAAGAGCCTGATGCTGGGAACGATTGAGAGCAAAAGAAGAAGAAGGCAGATATGGCAGAGGATGAGGTGGCTGGATGGAGTCACTGAAGCAGTCGGCGTGAGCTTAAATGGACTCCAGGGGATGGTAGAGGACATGGTATTCAGCTTTGTTCAGGTATTTTCCCACGTCATTATAGTTGTGCTTTTAAAGTTGTAGCAACGTTTCGGCAGAATCTCATCTGCCATCATCAGGCTTCTGTATAGTGTTCATCTGTGAATCAGACTTTTACATATAGTTTTCTCTCCCTGTGATAGAGTGAAAAAGTCAAGTGTGTGAGAAATTTCACACCATTTTTCAAGAAATGGTTGAAATGTCATCTGCACAATTACTGGGTGAGTGAATTGTTAAAACTCAATATAATGACAGCTATAGAATGATATGAATCTTCACATACCTATAAAATGAGAGAATATGAAGGAGTTTCTTTACTTGGTATATGTTGGGAAGCATTTGTATTGTCTCTATCAGAATGTTTGTAAATGCAGATTGACACACAGTTTCTAGAATGGTTACTTAAACATAGTTTTACATGCACTAATTAGTTATGGCAAATTCCTGACATCAAAGGCCAGTTTTAAATTGCCTATAAACCTGTTTATAAGCAAGAAAATCTCCACAATTTTAAGTGGGCTTCCTTTATGAACCCAGGTACCAGCAGTTTCAACACATAGCCCATCAGCCTGTGGCCAACGATTGCAAATAAGTCATTAATTAAACTAATCCAGGAACAGTGGTGAGAATGGGGTTAATTCTTATACTGCAAATTAAGTTGTCATACAGTCACATTTGAAACAGGAGGCACTTGTCATCTAGCAGATCGGATCCTTCTGTACCGCCTGTGCCAGATTGCCTCTATTTCCCAACTGTGTTCTGGCTGACACAGATTTGCTGGAGGCGGATGCTCCATTATGCTCCACTTGGCAGCTCATGCTGAGATATAGGCATGTGCCGTGCTAGTGGGTGGGTCAGGAAGAATCATCCTGAAAAAAAACCAGACTTAAAGCACCTGACAAAGCCGATAATGTTTTGCACTGTGATGTAGAAAGCTCTTCTGAGCATGACACCACCGAAGTAGCTTGGGCTTGAGGTCTGAACAGAAGCCACCCAAAGTCAAGGAAAAAGTAAAACAAATGCAGAAACCAGGTGAAAATTAAGGAATGGGGTAGGAGTCAGGTGAGAAGTTTGGTTGCTGTGAAGAGGAAGACCAGGAATTTAAGAAGTCATGAGATTCCTCAGCAGAGTCACACATTGCTAGCAAGACAGGCAAAACCGTGGAATGAGGTTCTTCTGTCACACAACACTTAAACAGGAGCCTGGGTTTCTGGACAGTTCAAGAGCTCCCATGATCATTTCCCAGGTGCACAGAACCAAGAGAAAGAGTGGGTTGGGCAGGAGATGCCAGGTCACCAATGAAGTGATCAGCTAGGAACCACAGGTGAAATCAGGTGAGAACCAGTAAAGAATGGAAAGAATTCTATCCTTTGAAACAATATAATATTCATAGTTCACTAGAACTTTTGTTTCAGTGGTAAAGGATGGAGATGATTCATTAAAGGTAAGTAGCAAATCCTTCCCAAGTTTCTATTGCTCAATGTTCCACCTTTCTCTTCTCTGATCTTAATTTTGTACCTGGCTATGACCACACCATTTTGCAGTATCAGATGTTTGTATCTTCCATAAAGTGACCTTCCTGTGGCTACCACATTCCACACTGCCAAATCTCTCTATTTTCCATCATCTCTATCTCTCTTTAACCTATCTCCATGAGTATCTTTTGTGAATCAAACAAGGAAAGGAATCATGTCAACCACTCTGGAGTACTTAGAAGAAGGCAAATTAAGCTGAATAAATACACAGGCTAAACATTCTTTTCTATGGTAGTGGCCTGATTGTGGAACTGATCAATCAGATGACTTTTTCCACTTCCGGTCATTTTCAAAATACAGAATAACAAAGTTGGAAAGGACCTGGGAAATCTTCTCATCCAACCCCTTGCTCAGACAGGAAGCCTGAGCAAGGCTATCCAATCTCTTCTTAAAAACCTCCAGTGTTGGAGCATTCACAACTTCTGGAGGCAAGTTGTTCCATCAATTAATTGTTTTCACTGTGAGGAAATTCCTGCTTAGTTCTAGGTTGCTTCTCTCCTTGATTGATTTCCATCCATTGTCCTACCCCCTGGTGCTTTGGAGAATAGCTTGACTCCCTCTTCTTTGTGGCAGCCCCTTAGATATTGGAACACTGCTATCATTCTTTATATGTTTTAGGCTCCAATTGTCTGATCATTTTTGTTGCTCTTCTCTGAACTCTTTCTAGATTCTTTTTTAAATCTTGTGGCAATTTATGTTCACATTTGCTGCAGAATGATTCCATTTCTGGAGTCTTTGGTAAATAGAACTTTCAGAAAGATATCATTGCACTCCCTACGCTTGTTCAGCTGGTTTATGTTATATGTACATTGTTTGTTTTCCAGATTTCTGGTGGTTATTGGAAGTCATTATTCTCTTCATTACTCTGAATGGCTAGATTGTGGTTCATTTTGTTGCTTCTGACACCACTGCTACACTGTAGTTTTATGCATTTTTTGATCAGTTGTACCTACTGGTTGAACATTTTAGGAGATAAAACAGGGGAAAAAAGCTTCACATAATTAGTCTTTGTGCTCAGTACTGTTACAGCAATGCATTTTTGGGCGAGGTTACCTAGAAGTAAATTCCAATATGTTCAACTATTTTTCCTTCCAGGAGAGTAAATTACAGGGTGACAGTCTAAAGGCAAGCATCTGTTGTGATGTAATAGACATTGTTCATGCCAGGAGTCAACCCAAATGTTTGTGGAGCAATTGGGAAGAAGATATTGCCTTTAAAATGTGTAAAATGTATTTAATTCACCACTCACAAACTTAGACATCCTGAATAAGGAGAGACACATTCTGTTATATTACAGAGTGGAAATTTCAAATATATTTGGAGCCCCAGCAATGCATTTGAATCTGTAAC